GGTGGGCAGAGCACATATAGCCCATTGTGTAGCTTTGTGCTTAACTGCAAACAAACAAACAATTTAAATAGCTCCTCCTAGTGAGATGAGAGTTCATGTTCCCGATATTAAACCAGGAATATATTGGTGCTACTACAACAACGAACTGTAGTTGCGTCAGTAAAATATGCGCTATTCAAAGCACCAACCCCTAGCAGCACTGCCAGCATGTGATTTTATGCTCACTTCCGAGGTTTTTACATCATACTACGAGCAAGGGAAATTTCAATTACGCCTAATCGAATCTCTTGCAATAAGTATTTTAAAAAATCGGAAACAGAGGATTAGTGTGGCACAATTGAAGTTGAAACTATGACTATGAGTGACTTAGGGAATTTTCAACGTGAACAATTTTGTTTTCACAATATAATGCGTATTTCTTTTATTGTGTGGGGGGGATGCGCATAATCCATTGTTAAACACAGCGAACTATTTATAATCGAAGTTATATGTATATACAAACATGTTGTTGGTTTTAGCTAGCAAACTACATTCTCAAGCTGCAATCAAAAGACAGAGTGTCATACCTCGCCAACGTCATTTAAAGCAATTCCCAAACCCTTCACCGAACACCACTGTTAACATTGCAACATCACCGAGTCGTCGCCCTGGCAAAGAGGCTCATACAAGGTAAGAATTCTATCGTGAATGAATACTGTAATTAGCGTATGTATTAATCTGTGTGTATCAATCAGCGCATTTGTCTTAAACAGTCCGAAAACGACTGCAGGGCTTCAGAGAAAGATACCATATTTACCTAACGTTTTGCCTTTTAACTTTATTGGGAGTGTTCTGTACAAGTTCTCATATTTAACTGGTAGATATACAGTTAATGATATAATACAAAAATATAACACTAGGGATCAAAATGTCTGTAGTAGTTATTATCAACTTAGTTATGTCATCAACTTAAGTAAAAATTTGTAATCAAAACAGAAACAACGCAAACTAACTACATGGTTCGTACGGTTTATAAACTAGCATTCATGATTGTAAATAGACGTTTGCAGTATGTCTGTAGTAGTTATTATCAAATTAAAATTGACTATGTTTTCAAAGTTAATATACATAAAAAGTCGATTGTATGTGCAATGAGTACACAGTAAATATAAAGCAGCAGTTTAAATATGCCATCCTCTGCCTCTGTTAATTTGGGATCAAAGCTGTCGAGAGAGTAGAACTACTTCAATAATAACAGTGTTAGCTAAGTCACATAATATAAAGTTGGGAAGTTTTTGAGTTTGTGAACTTGAAGTTAATTAAGCTTGGAATTTGTATCGAGAAAGTATCAAGTGATATGCTGAATAAATATAGTATTTTATTCTAAAGCTTTATTTTCGTTTTCATATCGTTTTTTTATGTCATCTTTACTTTAGGTAGCATCAAAAAGTGACTAATGTAGTCATTTTGTCTTTGTTGATGAATGTGTCTTTCTAAGAAGTTAATGATCGTTTAGTGGACTGTATTTTTATGGTGTAATATTCTGCTTTATGTTCAAGTAACATATTATGCACAGCAAACTGCACATTGTACTCTTCAATATTGTTATTAAAGTTATATTTTTTTTTCCATACTAAGAGTTAAACCTATATTATACTAAATAGAGTTAGTTCCATATAGAAATAGAAAAAACAACAAAGTAATAGGGGAAAGAAATTTTTCATATGCCCTTTTATCTACACTGTATCTTTATTTCACTAATTCTCTAAATTGTAATATTTCATTTTTCCATGTTATGTCACTGCCCTTGCACCAAATCGTTACTTGAATGTTCTGTTTTTCAAGTCTTGTTTTCACTTTGCACACACGGCTACAAAATCTGCCTACCATTTCTTTCTAGTCACGTGCCTTCCACCCAGCAGCCTTCTCGGACGGCCGCGCCAGACTTGTACTCGGGTTTGCATCTAGCGTACGAAGTAAAAAAGCTCATGTATGCTATCCTTTCATTCATCATTTATTAATTTCACTTTCCTTTCTAAACTCTAAGAGTATAGTGTAGCAGTTTGTTACTTACTCTTTGAATTTTAAAAATGAATACAAAAATTACAACTGAAAACATAAGAGTAACTGGTATATTTTCTTTTTTCAAACAGGCTCAACGTTTGACTCATTTTCATTTATGTAAATTATATTAACCCATTTAATATCACGTACCTCAAACATTTTACTTATATACTTACATTCAATGAAAAAATAAAATTAAGAGTATTTACATGTAATAAATTCATATATATCAGGTTTGCATGATATTTTATTTTCCCAGCATTTTGTGCATGTTCACTGACTAAAGTACTAAAATGCATGATGTATTATTGCCAAGTGCTGCACTTGTTTGTTCTCACGTTTCTTTCATGTGATTTCAAAGTATCAACATTAAAGACCATATCTCTTAACAATTATGATTTTGAGAGTGTATATCTTTACAACGATAAATGTATTAACTTTAGAAATCATAAAATTGTGACCATTGTTACCAGTTTTTAGTTAACTACATCATTAACATATATTTTGTTATTATTTTACAAAAGCTAAGTAAAAATATTAAATACCTATTGTAACTGATGGCCAAGAAAGCTACTTAATATAAGAAAATGTAACAATTCAACTGTTATTCAGTAGAGGGCTTTTATATACTTGTAGTACAAGATTTAGTAATTTTAAACTAGTTACGTGCAGCAACTTTACTTCTTATGTGTAATTTTTTAAAAGTAAAACTGGTAAATTATAAAGCCCAAACTTGTACTGACTCAGAACGAAATTTATTGTACAGTATATTTTTCTCGGTTTATTATAAAATTTTTGGGGTGTCCTAACAAGAGAATAGTTTCATGATGTTTATCAATGATCCATAAAAACTAATTGTGAACATAACAGTAAATATGAATAGTATACTTTTACTGCATAAGTCCGCAACGTTGCTGCGTTTCGGGTTTTATTACTCGCTCGTTTTTTCAGAAAAGTCATATATTTCTTTCAAGAAATTAAGAGAATGTAAAAATATTTTTTTTTCTTTACCAAGTCACTTAGTTTAAGGAAATTAAATGTCAGTTAAATTAATTTATTTCTCGTTTTTTCCGTCACCGATCTGCGGCTTATAAAGGAATTGAAAATTTTCTGGCGCTTATTTACTATGATATTCACATGTAGCCACCAAAATACTAAATCTAAAAATTAAGGAATGATCTTACCCCACTTGTCTGGCGAGAATTGTTTTGGCTTTGGTTATTCTTTAAAACCTCAAATTCGTTAAAAACACAACAGATTACTAACAATGTACGGACAAAAAAGGATAAGGGACCATCGTATAAATTATCTTGCACACTTAATTTAAGAAGATGTTTTATTACATTTATATTTAGATTAACGATCTTTTTCATTTCTTTACTGACAGATACCCTCTGTATGCATATGTTACCTAGCATTACAAGTAACTAGCTGCAAAAAAACAAAAACAACATGAAATTATTAATTCTTTGGGGAAAAGCATTTATTTCGCTTTCGTTTTATCATGTTACAGCCCACTTAGATGAGAAGGAAATGCTAAAACTTACCTCAACTCTCTTATCTGTTATATATTTTTATTTCACGCAACAACTTCATACACTAAAGTGTGAGTCTGTATCTGTGTTTCCGAGTTAGAAGTTCCAGCCTGAACAGCACTTTATGTGCACGTGAGTTAAACGACCAGATAAGAGGCCTGTAGATATAGCCATCTTTAATTTTAAACTACTGACCAGAGGGAAGGCAGTCAATCAATAGCACCCACCACTACAAGCGCATTGTCCGATTCTTTGATCTAACTAAAGAAATTTATCATTTTATAACGCTCTCTAGACCTTTAATCCGTAGTCCGATACAATTTACATTAGGCCACGCCTCACAAGAATACCGTCGAAGCAGCTGAGCTGGACTAATAGTTTTTCTTTGAAAAATCGTAATCTAAAATAGAATAATATTTACTAACATTTCAGAGTTTACATAGTCCTTTATCAGCGACCTGCAATAACATACGTCAAGCGTACGTGTGTTTAATGCGCATAACAATTAAACAGTACAGTATGTACATACAAATTGAAATATTATATGGTGTAAGAAAATAGCAAAACAGATTGAAATACGATAACATTTAAATTTGTTGACAGAAATAGTAAAGTTCCCACGTCTAAATTAAGGAGAGGTGAAAAAATAAATAAGAGTTTGGAGTATAAACAAACAAAACCTTATAAATCCTTGTGTTGCTTTCATTCGTAAAAAAACCAACAAACATTCTGTTTCTATTATTAATTTCCAAATTCTAGTCTCTGGATCGACTACCGGTTAACTTCTGATCAATGAAAATTTACTGATTTCAAAAGAACATCCAAAAATGAGCAACAATTTCAATTATTTGTAAATAGCAGGTATGTTCCAGCCCATCCTTCCTTTATTTTTTCCACATTTTATTATTTCAGTTTGACTGTTTGTTTTATTGCAGATCGCTAATGATGAATTTTGTAAATTTTGAACTGGCCAAAAAACTAAATATGTTTCGCTCATGGGCACCCGTAGGGAGGAGCAAGGGGGTCACTTGACCCCCCTCGATTTTCAAAGAGAAAAACAAAAATTAGATATGTAAAATTATTCTTCTCTGTTATTGGAAAATCATGAGGTATTTGTATTTCGATTTCATATTTTTTTTAAACTTGAGTTACTTGACCCCCCTATTTTTTTTTCTGCGGGCGCCCTTGATTTCGCCTACTGCCTATTATAAAGTATACTAGCAGAGACTCGCAAAACGTTTGCGGCAAAACTAGTATCTTTATTGCAACATCACCTCTTTAAATACATGATTTCTAGAGTAATACAAAATAATTCTAATAGCAGACACTGAAATCTATAAGTCCACTTGTCTTAGTCCTAACAGTAGCTAAGCCTTTATTAACTACGGCCTACATTCGATAAAGAGATAAATTAACACTAATTTGTGTACGTTTTTTGTTTTAGTTCAGTTAGGGCTAAACCTTACCGCACTTAATACTATCAATATGTAATCTTCTAATATTATTGCACGACGTAAAGTTAGACCTTTTTAAAACTTTGATAAGTTTTTCATATGTAGTATAAAATGTCTACTAAAGTATATTTACGTCCTTTGTGGCGCAACTTGACAAATATACGTTTTCAAATTGCGAAAAAGGTGCAAAAAAGGTACTTATTAGTCCAAATATATCTTTATTTTTCGATCAATCTTAGACTACTCGCTTCTAATTGACAAGAAGCCAAACTACTTAAATTACGCAATAAATTGCTATGACATCATTGCGTGACCTAGAGACAGGCAGACAGAAACACACTGCTCGATGACGAGGAACCCACTTTGAGACTAATAATGCTTGGAGACGGCTTGAATGGGTAATGAAGAAAGACTTACATTAAAGTTTTTCTTCATTACCCATTCAAGCCGTCTCCAACCATTATTGGATACACACTGTTTTTTTTATAGTATTATATTATTAAAATAATAAATCTGTGTATGAGATGACACAGATATTAACAACAAATGTCCAAAATGAAGCCGATAAGAAAGTTTATTTTATTGGTCATTAGCGATTAAAGAACCATACACAGCTAGCACTCAATAATATATTTCAAATGCACTTTCCAACTGATTAAAATAAGCTTAATCAGTTAATGCTATAAACCGTGGAAAAGTACATCTAAAACAAATAATTTGAAGGAGAGTTTGATTTAAACAAACTGTTCTAGTTCATAGGTGCTAGTAAATGAAAAAATTAAGCCGTGAAGAAGAAAGGTCCACCTTTCGAAAGCGCTCGGGTTAAGGGTTTTTATTCATTTCTATCGAGACTTTTTGAACCTACATGTTTTTCTAACATTGTGAAAAAAATAATAATATTCGTCAATTACTGGACACTTGGCGGTATTGCATACTAGAACTTTATACATGTACTCTCTAGTATACGTAAAACGGATTCAACACTTGCAAGACTAACGTGAACTATTACGTGTTTCTTGTAGCTGATATCGATTCCCAAGTTGTGATATAATCCCTATTATTATTTTTTTAGGCCTACTAGCCGTCTCAGCAGTGGTAATGGCGCCAATAACTCTACTACAGATAGGCCTTTTCCAGTCGGTTTAGCTGACGATCAGTCTGGAGACCTCAGCTTCGACAAAACAGAGATGAAGTACGATTCTACTGGCATGTTTCATTGGTGCACGGCACGCCCAATAGAAGAATGTATTTTGGTAAGTTTTTTTCCTATTATTTGGTGGAAAGTGTGAATCCAAATTTCATACAGCAATACAATTAGTTATGGTAAATGTGAACCGAACACCTGTTTATTTTTTATTTTTAAAGACATTTGACATTATTTTTAACAGAATAGTTAACATGCATGTTTAATTAAGAGACATATTGTATAATTATTTTATTATTTGGCTTAATATTACCTTTGATAACGGAAAAGATCTGCATAAAACTTATACATATTTTGAATGAAATCTGGTGATAACACGAATAGTTATAGTCAAAGACTGAGAAAATATGCAAATACAATATATATATATATATATATATATATATATAACAACAAAAACAAAATAATATATATAATAACAACACTACCTACCTACTACTCTATCTCGTCGTACGTA